GGATTGACTGGTGAACTTGAACTGTTGACTTTATGGTTCAAATGACTTTGCTGTCCAGCACATTAATCTATGGTGCCCCACCAGCACTCCTTTATGGTGGTACTTATTATATTATATTATGTTTCATCATGGGCATTATTACATCTGAAGTACTAAGCCACTGAGAATCCTGGCCCATCCAAATTGACACAAACCTTAACTATTACAATCATTAAAAAGACAAATAAGAAAGAAAAGGCTAAAGTGAATGTCAGAAAAGACTCAGAAAGCTGCTCTTGAATACTGAGTAGATAAAGGGACTGGTAGAAATGATGAAGTAAAAGAGCTGAATAGAACATTTCAAAAGACAACTTGAGAAGACAAAGTAAAGTATTATAATGAAGTGTACAAAGACCTGGAGTTAGAAAACCCAAAGGGAAGAACACACTCAGCATTTCTCAAGCTGAAAGAAATGAAAATTCAAGCTTCAAGCTGAATTATTGAAGAATTCTATTGACAGTTGTTTGAACAGAACAAGGGGACACTGAATGGTTTAAAATCAGGAAAGGTATGCACCAGGGTTGCATTCTTTGACCATACTTCTTCAAGATATGCTGAGCAACTAATCTGAGAAGCTGGATCATATGAAAAAGAACATGGTATCAGAATTGGAAGAAGACTCACAAACAACCTGTGATACGCAGGCTATACAACCTTGCTTGCTGAAAGGGAAGAGGGCTTAAAATACTTCCTGATGAAGAACAAAGACCACAACCTTAAATATAGGTTACACCTCAATGTAAAAATAAATAAATAAATAAAAATCCTCAACACTGGACAAGTAAATAACATCATGATAAACAGAGAAAAGATTGAAGTTGTCAAAGATTTCATTTTGCTCAGATCCACTATCAATACTCATGGAAGCAACATTAAATAATCAAGTGATATATTGCTTAAGGCAAATCTGCTGCACAAGACCTCCTTAAAGTGTTCAAATGCAAAGATATCAATTTTGGACTGAGGTGTGCCTGACCCAAGCCATGACATTTTTAATAGCGTACGATGCATGTGAAAGATGGACAATGAATAAAGAAGACCATAGAAGAATTGGTGCATTTGAGTTATGGTGTTGGAGAAGAATCTTAAAAGTACCATGAATTGACAAAAAAACAATCTATGTTGGAAGAAGTCAGAATGGCCAGACTTTGTCTCTCGTTCTTCTGATATATTATCAGGAGGGACCAGTCCCTGGAGAAGGACATCATGTCTGATAAAGTGGAGGGTCAGAAAAAAAGAGGAAGACTCCCCAACAAGATGGATTGGCACAGTGGGAGAAGCAATGGGCTCAAACTTAACAACAATTATGAGGATGACATAGGACGGGACAGTGTTTCATTTTGTTGTGCTATGAGTTGGAACTGACTTGATGGCACCTAACAACAACATGAGTAAAATATTGAGTGACACAGAAAGCAACAATAGAAGATGGATAGAATATACAGAGTCACTGTAACAAAAAGAAATGGTTGATACTCAATCGTTTCAGGAGGCAGCATACAAACAAGAACTAATGACATTGAAAGAAGAATCCAAGCTGCAATAAAACCATTAGTGAAAAACAAGGCTCCAGGAATTGACAGAATACAAATTGAAATGTTTCAACAAATTGATGCAATGCTAGAAATACTTACTTGTCTATGACAAAAAGTTTGGAAGATACTACCTGGTCACCCAACTGGAAGAGATCCATTTTATGCTCATTCCAAAGAAACATGACTCAACGGTATACAGAAATCATTCAATTATTCTATTAATATCACACACAAGTAAAATGTTGCTGAAGATAATTTTTAAAATAGTTGCAGCAACACATTGACAGGGAGCTGCCAAAAATTCAAGCTGGATTCAGAAGAGGACACAGAACGGGGGATTTCACTGCTGATGTTAGATGGATTTTGGCTGAAAGCAGAGGATAGCAGAAAGATGTTTACTTGTGTTTTATTTACTATGCAAAGGAATTGGACTGCATGAATCATAACAAACTATGGACAACATTGGGAAGAATGTTCATTGTGCTTGTTGTTGTTGTTAAGTGCCATCGAGTCAGTTCCGCCTCATAGACACACTGTATAGGGTTTCTGAGGAGTAGCTGGTGGGCTTGAACCACCTACCTTATGGTTAGCAGTCCAGTGCTTATCCTACAGCACTACACCACAACCCTCATTGTTGTTAAAAGTGCCGTTGAGTTGGTTTCGACTCATTGCAACCCTGTATAGGGTTTCCAAGCAGCAGCTGGTGAGTTTGAACTGCTAACCTTGTGGTCCAAGCCGACTTTGTGGTTCAATCCGAGCTTCCAGTCCAGTGTGTTATCCTGCAGTGCCACACCAGGATCCTCACTGTTGTTGTTAAGAGCTCTCCAGTCTGTTCCTTCTCATAGCAACCCTGTATAGGGTTTCGGAGGAGTGGCTGGTGAACTTGAAGTTCAAACAGAACTTGCAGTCTAGCGCATTAAACCTGCAGTGCCACACCACGACTCCAGCACCTTCATTGTTGTTGTTGTTAAGTGCCATCGAGTCAATTCCAACCCATAGCAACCCTGTATAGGATTTTCAAGGAGCAACTGGTGAGCTTGAACCACCGACCTTGCAGTTCAAACAATTTTGCAGTCTGATGCATTAGCCCATAGCGCCACACTAGGACTTCAGCGCCCTCATTAGAAACATGTAAATAAACCAAGTGGCAATCATTTGAACAGAACAAGGAAATACTGAATGGTTATAAATCAGGAAAGGTGTATGTCAGGGTTGTATCCTTTCATCATACTTATTCAATCTGTGTGTTGAAAAAATAATCCAAGAAGCTGGACTGTATGAAGAAGAACACATCATTAGTTATTGGAGGAAGACTCATTAACAACTTTTGATATGCAGATGACACAACCTTGCTTGCTGGAAATGAAGAGGACTTGAAATACTTGCTGATAACGATCAAGGACTACACTACAGCCTTCAGTATGGATTACAACTCCACGTAAAGAAAACAAAAATCCTCACAACTGGCCCAATGAACAACATCATGACAAACAGAAAAGACTAAAGTTGTGAAAGATTCCATTTTACCTGGGCCCACAATCAGTGCTTATGGAAGCAGCAGTCAGGAACTCAACTGATGGATTGATGCATTGGGCAAATCTGCTTCAAAATACCTCTTTAAAGTATTAAAGAGCAAAGATGTCACTTTGATAACTTATGTGGGCCTGACCCAAACCATGGTATTTTCAATCACCTCATGTGGGTGTGAAATCTGGACAATGGATAAGGACGACAGGAAAAGAACTGGAGCATTTGAACCATAATGTTGGAAAAGAATGTTGAACTGCCAGGACTGTCAGGAAAACAAACAAATGTGTCTTGGAAGACATAGAGCCAGAATGCTCATTATAAGAGAGGATGACTTCATCTCATGTACTTTGGATATGTTATTGTTGTTGTTATTGTTGTTGTTAAGTACCGTGGAGTCGGTTCCGACTCATAGTGACCCTGTACAGGGTTTCTGAAGCTGTCAATCTTTATGGGAGCAGAAAGCCTCATCTTTCTCCCACAGAATGGCTGGTAGTTTTGAACTGCCAACCTTGAGGTTAGCAGCCTGATTTGGAAGGGACCGTTCCCTGGTTAAATAGAGTCAGAGAAAAAAGAGGAAGATCAACAGGATGGATTGATGCAGTGGCTGCAACAATGGGCTCAAACAAAACAACAATTGTGAGGATTGTGCAGGATCAGGTAGTATTTCGTTCTGTTGTGCATAGGGCCGGAGCAGACTTGTTGACCTTGTTGATCTTCATCAGTAAGTATTTCGAGTCCTCTTCAAACAACATTCATGAAACTGCCTTATTCTAAAGAATGAGAGACATGTAATGGTGGAAAGAAAGTGATTTACTGAGTTGGATGGTCATTCCTAGGAAGAATAACTAGAGAAACACAACTGTTGGAGAACACAAAATCGAATAAATTGTTCTTTTCACAAACTAAAATATATCAACAAATTGATAAAAATTCATCAAAATGAAACCAAAATGCTAACAAAAATCTACTTTAAAAACACATAGCAAGGAGACAGTATATTATGAATGAATCAGTTGTGAAAACTCACTCTTTCTGGCCATTGTTTACCTAGGTGTGAGAGTGTTGGAAAAGTTAGAGTAGTGTGAAGAGAAAGAATGTTCTTTTGTTTCCATGATTTTAAGTACCATATACATGCTGACAAATCTCAAATATATACCTTCAACCCAAACTTCTCCTTTGAGATCTAGACTCTTCTGTATAACTTTCTACTCTCAAACATGAGTACTGTTGATAAACATTTTTTCAATTCATCATTTAACCTTTACAACATTCCTATGTGACATATATTATTGTTTCCCCTTTACAGTGAGGAAACTGAGGCTTTAAGAAGTATTTTTGCTCAAGCTCTTGTGCCATATTTAAATCCATGCTCAAATCTGTGAGATCATGCTCTTAAGCATTATGCTATATCATCCTCATAGTCACGGTAGGATAAGCACTGGACCACAAGGTTGGTTTGAACCACAAGGTGAGTGGTTGAAACACACCAGCTGCTCCTTGGAAACCCTTCACAGGTTACTAAGAGTTGGAACTGACTCAAGGGCACTGAGTAACAACAACAGTGATAAGTGCTTGACAAATCCTCAACAATACTTGTTGCCAAAATAAATATTTGTTGCCATCAAAAGATTAGAGGGTAAGTGGGATATAGGAGAAATAGCTGCCCAAATGTTTTATGGATGTTGAGGGATTAGGGACAGTTGTTTCCTTTTTATTATGAGTAAATGACAGACATCTCCTTAAACTGGTACCAAAGTATCCTACTTAAAGCCACAAATGTAATTTGTGCAATTTGACATAATTCCCCTTGTATAATAATATAATGAACTCTACAAGAAAATTTGCTATGAGAATCTAACAGCAGCATTATAGGAAATGAGAACAAAGAAATGATACCTCTTCAAAATATAGTTGACCTCGTAGGAAATAAGCCCGAGCATCCCCTCTTCTGATTCTTTCCTTCAAGAGCTGTAATGCCGTGTCCACCAAATTAGCATGGGTGTAATGATCTGATTAAAAAAAGGCAAAGCAAGTCCATGTTTAATCATACAATATGAATGTTCCTACTTGAAACAATAAATCATATAGGCTTCATCTGACTCTGTTAATATATATCACTTTCCTTCCTAGTTCTCATTTCAAAAATAGGCCTCTTTATCTCAATGAAAAAGCATTAGAATAGATAGACAGTTTCCAGATCCACTACAAAGGTAGAGGAGATATTTTCAAATATGTCCTCTGCACCCCCATGTAAACATATGGAAGCGTTACTGGTTTAGAAGATGTGAGGACTTTGGGTACCAATATAAAGTTAGTGCTTCAGTTACACTTGCCTCTTCATCTTTTCTGAATGTATTTTACCTCCATGTCTTTGCTCATACTATTTCCTTGACCCAGAATTTCCTACTAATCTTCAAAGCCCAACCTAATCGATATCATTTCATTAAACACTTTTATTAAACTATAGCAATCTCTCTTTAATTTCCCAGAGCACATGTTTTCTGTATCACTCCTGTGACATCTATCACACAATTCTTGTGCTGTTACTTGTTGCCATGCATACATATTTTTCTTTCCTCATAATGTAAATATTGGTAACTAATTATACTTTATATTCTTCACAGTACCTACCACCTTAAAGAGTTCTGGTAGCATAGTGGTTTATGAGCTGGGCTGCAAAATGCAAGGTCAGCAGTTCGAATCTACCAGCCTCTCTGTAGAAGAAGGATGAGACTTTCTGCTCCAGTAAAGAGATACAACCTCAGAAACTCAATACAGGGTAGTTATGAGTTGGAAGAAACTCCACAGCACACAACCCCCCCACACACACACACACTCCTACCCCCCACCTTGTCTTGTGCAATCAAGAAATGTTTGTTGATTAGTTTTTAAAGTAAACCTGTTCACTGCCAGGCAGAAAACTTAGCAATGAAGTTTAAGTCTAAACATAGGTTCTTCAATGGGCAAAGTTGTGCTATTAAATTCTTAAAATTTTAACTTTAATTAGAACTACAGCTAAATACCTCCAATTTAATTTAAAAAAATATATATATATATATGAAAAAAGTAAGGCATTGTTTTCTTAATTTAAATGGCATCTGTCTTCTTTTTTCTAGAAGGTTGAAAATAAAAATCAGTTTCAAGATCTAATTGTGAGACCTCTTCATTGATGATTTGCTATGAGATAAATAAGTAGCAATTTCATGGATTTTTGTGGGCATGTTGGAAAGGACTGAAAAATTAATCACTGTCTTGAAAGCCATAAGACTCACAGTTCTTATCTTGTTTGCTCTAGCATACATAATTAAATTTTAGTGAAAGTATTTTCCCAAGGAAGATTAAACATCAGGATTTGTACCAGTCTTTTCCTTCATCCATTTTTGGTTATTAACAGCATACTGTGTTATGATAGAGGTATAAATGGGGTTCGTGGGCAACTTTTCACTGGTCAACTTCATCCTGTTAGCACAATGTGTATTCTGTAAATAAGAATATAATTTAAGATGGTTAGAATGATCTTCCTCTAGAAAAGTGTAAAAAAGTAACTCCACTGTAATTTGGTTCTCATTATAAGAAGCATTCCCCTCAGAACCTAAGCTAAGACCCTGAGACCAGTTTTGGGATGCACAGCATTGTATCTAGGAAACCAGGACCCTCGATAGCCATTCTCCCTGTCTGTTTCCATAGCATGGATTAGTACTGAAGCTTGTAAATTCCCTCTGTCTCTGAGTTCACATGCTACTCTGGGTAATGTCTCCCTCCCCAGCAGCTGCCACTAGTGGGGTTGGTGGCATTGTGCACTGGTACCTTCCTGTTGTCTTATAACTGAAGCTCATCAGGATAACCCATTTCAAATGAAAGCATTTGTCTATTTTACCTGGGAATACACTTTATTTTAGCTCTGTTGTTCAGTTGTATCTTCCCGTCTATATTGGATTGCCATGTTATAAGGTGGATCACAGTTAATTGGTAAATCAGAGCCTTCATATAAAATGTAGAGGCCACCTCATTTTGGATGAAGGAGTCCAGGTTGGCCTAGACTGAGGGTAGTGAGACAGCAAACTCAGTTGTTGCTATGCTTTTTTGTTTACTCCTTGGCATTCTGCTGTTAAAGCTTACTTTCACCAATCAGAAACAAGCTTCTAGTAAAGGTTCCTGATTGGTGGTTGAGAGAAGAACTCAAGAGACCCTAACTATGATTGGAAAGTAACATTTATATAATTAAATTATGCTATTTTAGACAAGCACAGGACTGATAACCTCAAGGTCAGCAGTTCAAGCCCATAGGTTCTCCTCTGAAACCTTACAGGGTTGCTATTAATTGGAACCAACATGTTGGCACTTAACAAGAATGGCATTTTAGACAATAAAATGCATCATTATTGGGAATGAAATGCAACAAACCAAAACTCACTGCCATGGGGTGGATTCGGTTTCATAAGAAAGAGTAAAACTTCTGTAAGATCAGCACTGGACTTCTACCCACAAGGTTGGCAGTTCAAACCCACCAGCCACTCCTCATTTTGAAACTCTATACATGTTTGCTGTAACTCAGAAGTGACTCGCCAGCACTTAACAACAAGCTATCAGATTTCTGGAAATTCTAAATATTATCATTGTTCTGGGTAATTTTCTTTGTTAATGGCTTTTATATAAGGAAATCCCAAACAAGATATTTTGGTAACCTAGTGTTCCAAGAGATAAAGCTGATAAAATTTATATTTCAATTTTACCCATATAAACTAATTATATAATTAAAATTGATTAGATGATGTTGGAAATTGTCAAAAGTTTGAAATTTTTGGTGGTTTTATAAAAAAAAACTATTCAAATTACTTAAAGTGCTTGGGAAAAATGTAGAAAACTAGACACATGCTTTAAATAGATTTGATTCCAATGTTATACTATTACTCCTTTATTTGAATTATTACTTGATTGATAAAGATCAACATTTTCTCTACATATTTTTCCTTGTCGTAGGAACATGGATTAAATCTGAGTAGGACATTAAACCCATTTTGACAAGTTTGAATTATTGTAAGAAAATGATTTTCAACTTTCTATGACAGAAGAGTTTTGACATACACAGTTCAATGTTCACGGAAAAATGAAATAAAAAGATAAGGAATTTTCCCATGAATTATTTGAAGCCCCTTTTGAATATATATGCTTCTTTTGAAGATGTATATTCAGGCACTGTTTTTATATTCTGTATATAAAATGCTTATTTATTTTCCAATCTTTTCATGTAGAGTCCAAAGCCATGGGGCCTATATGAAATAGGGGTAAGAGTTCTAAATTGTCTATCTTGCATCAACCATACTCATGTAATTTCCAGATTTTTTTAAACTGGAGCATAAATTTTAAAATGCCCCTTGAAGAAATCTGAGTGTAGAATACCCAACCCCCTATATTTTTGTGAATTGAGGGAACTTTACAGGGCAGATTATTAGTTTTACATTCAACAAATCATTTACTTTGTTTCATTACAATGATTATAATCCCCTCTATATACCATGAGTTAACAGTATTTCTCTCTAGTCTTTTTTTTTTTAAACACTCAGGCATATATAATAATTTACGCCATCAAAGGACACAATCTGCAAGTCTGTCTCCTGGCCGCCAGCTCTCAGTCCCTCTCTTTCCATGACTCTAGAGTCCTCAGCTGCTCCCCTTTTCCATCCCTCCATCTTTGCTCTCATCTCTGGTGTCGCTGCTTCTTTGGATAAGTAAGGTCTATCATTTCGCCTGTGCTCTTCTCCCTTAGGATCCTAGGGTTCTCTGTTTCTGGACTGTAAGATAAACTACTCCTCCGTTTTTGTTATAAAACTCATACCTCTACAACTGTGACAGTCGCAATTACTCATGATAACATTTACTCACTATTGAATCATAAGAATCTTATGCTCATATCTTTTTACCAGACCCATCTAGACAAGATGAAAACTATTCAGTGGAGACTCTATCTTTCCCCACATACTCTTAAACTAAACTCCCTCTTGAAACCTTGTAAGCCAGTCACTTTATGCCTTTATCGCCCCCTCATTTTAGGTTTAAAACCAAAACCCACTTAAAACCAAATGGCCACCACTTGTCTGTCAGTTTGTTGTACTGTGGTGGCTTGTGAGTTGCTGTGATTCTGAAAGCTATGCCACTGATATTTTAAATAACCAACAGGGTCACCCATGGTGGACAGGTTTCAGATGAGCTTCCAGATAAAGACAGACTAGGAAGAAAGAGTGACGAACTACTTGTGAATAATTAATCACTGAAAACATTATGAATAGCAGAGAAACAATGTCAGATATAGTGCCGGAAAATGAGTCCCTCAGGTTAAAAGGCACTCAAAATGTGACTGGGGAAGAGCTGCCTCCTCAAAGTACAGTAGAACGAGATAATGTGAATGGAGTAAAGCTCATGGGAGGAAAGTCCCCTGGACCTTCATTTGCTGATGGGGCACAACTCAAAATGAACAGGAACAGCTTTAAACATCCATTGAAGATCAGAACATGGAATGTACGAAGTATTAATCTAGGAAAATTGGAAGTTGTCAAAAATGAAATGGAACGCATAAACAT